AGGAATTTAATTAGTAATGGGTGGGTAATGGATTGATTTATAAATTATACTAATAAGTTTAATTATAACAAATAGTTGAGCACCACGTATTTTAAAAAATATTTAAATAGTTTAAATATAAAACCGTTAAATAAGTGGTCAATTTTGAACCAAAAGGTGGATGACAAGAGTATTTTGGACCCAATAGGTGGGTGGAAAGGGTATTTTGGAGCCAATAGGTGGATGGAGGGTAATTTTGTACCATTTTCAATACTTTGAGGATATTTTAGGCCCCTTTCCGATTAATGTAACACTCAATAAATAATTGATAATTTTGATATAGAAATAATAACATTGAAGATTAGTTATTGATAACTTTATTGATAATAGATGGATACTTCGATCTCATACCAGTTAGTCATTATATCAAATATTAGTTATTTATTTTATTAAATTAAGTAAATATTAATTATTTTATTTTTTTTATATTAGTTTTGTAATTAATTCTTTTTGAAAGTGTTTACCTTAATTTGTAAAATTCCCAAGATATTTTTTAAGAGGTGAATTAATTAAATTATCTCTTATTTATAATTTCTTAAACACGATATAAAATGAAAAATGATCAAATAATATGACCCGAAATGGATGGAGTAGTGAATAATGGTTGGAAATGTGGATTTTCGACTATTTATAAATATTTATATTGTTCAAAAAAATTCATTTCATAACATATAAAATATGAATTTTGAGGTTAATTTTTTTCAGCATTCTCTATTACTGTATACGTTTATTATCGTAAAAAAATTATTTTTATTGTAGTGATAATAACGGTGCGCGTGGTCGCGGCGCACCAACCTTTTCTCTGCTCCAATAATTACTCTCTCAAATACTCAAGGTCGCTACCTAACGCTTGGGTGGGTGGGTGGGGGTCATTTTTGTAAATATATATATATATATATTTTAAATACTAATTTAATAAAAATTCTGATTCCGACTTTCTCTATATATATTAATTTAATGATATTGTATAGTGTGACGAAGGAATGATTTAAAAAAGCAAACACCATCACTACAATAAAATAGCTTTTACCGGTAATAAAAATATACCTTAATAAAGAGTGTTAAAAATTTTACCGACATTAGTTAATTGTCATTAGATCAAATATCGCTAAAATTTTTAAGGACATATACAAAAAATATTAATTACCACTAAAAATACATATTTAATAGCAATTGCTAATTAATTACTGTTAAAACTCATTTTTGTTGTAGTGATTGATTTTTCTTCGTGAAATTATGACAGACTCATTTAAATAAAATTATGATTTCGTTTAAATATTTCTATTTGAAATTTACCATCTGCTAATTATGATTTTATCATAAATATTTTGATATTCTCTGTATATAATATAATTTTATCATAAATATTTTAATATTCTTTATATATAATACTTGTACGATATATATTTGAGTATGGTTACTATGGGTAGGTACAATGTTATTATACGGAGAAAAAAATGATTTTCGAGAAAATCAGACTATTATAATAAAATATTAATTTAACTATAATTATTTTAAACAAATCTAATGCCTTTTATATATAGATATACATCACAAATATATTTGAATCGCTCCATCAATATCTCCATCCACAATAACTCTTCCAACGGATTAGAAAAAAACATTGAAAAATAAATGTAACTCTCATTATAGAATTGATTGTTTTGGATATTATTATGTCTTGATATAAAAATGTACAAATAAAACAAAGCTTAAATTTGAGATATGTCACTTTTATTCACGTGAATTGTGGACCTATTTCCAAAAACCAAAAAGAAAAAAAATAAACGTGATAATAGATTGATGATGAATACTTGAAAATGGTGTTTAATTGTATTTTTTTTAAAAAAAATTAAAATATTTTTTATAATTTAAAATAAATTATAAATAATTATATGATTATAGTTTATCTTATTAAAAATAAAATAAAAAGTTTGAAATTAACTATTTATGTTTTATCCTTTCCTTAATATTTTTAGCCTTTAATTTTCTCCTTATAATCGAATCGTTTCACCTTTTTCTTCTTCAATAATGAATAGTAACAATTTTTGATACTTTGATACCATTTTTTTTGTTTGTTTGTTTGTTTTTGGTTTTTTATTGGTACTCGGTGTAACGTCATGGTGTCTGAGTAAAATTTAAATTCACACATTATTACAAATAAATTTTAGGAGTAACACTTTAAATAAGAATTTTTTTTAATTCTCATAGATTCAAATTCGAAATATCTAATTAATGATAGGATTTCATAATGTTTCATCTGTTTCAATTTACTTGACAAATTTTAACTTGACACTCATACACCTATTAAGAAAAGTATTTTGACTAACCATTTTACCCCTAAAAATATTTATTCATTACATTTTTCAAAGACATTAATTCAGTATTAATAAATTAAGGATATAAGTGAAAAAAGAAAATTGTTTTTTCTTTATTGGTAAAAGAATGACTAAAAATCAAATTAGAAAATATTTAAGAAGTAAATTTGAATGAAATGAGTATCATTTTAGCCTTTTTCTTTGTAATTGTAGTGTACTTATCATGTGATAAATTGTACAATTTCGTAAAAAAATTAGGATAAAATATTTTAATTTTTAATCAAAGATTTCAAATTTAAGCTGTTAAGAATAAAGACATTTTGGTACGAAGCATTTTAGTCTCCATAGAGCCCTATCCAATGTAAATCAAAATAATTAAACCAAAAAATCATAATTTTACACTATAGTTATATTTTTTAGAAGAAAATTCTCGAGATTTACGTTTATATAGATTTCCTAACCAGAAAAGTTTAAATAATTATATTTTCTTATAATATTTCAGAAATGCAATTATATGGCCTTAAATTTTCAAGAGTTAGGTTAGTAATAAGTACGTAGTAATCAATTAATATTCAAATCTTTATTGAATTAGAAGTGTTAGATTCAAATTTTTGTTGAACGTAAATGTCATTAGATTCGCGCCTTTATTGAATATGAAATCATTTTTATTAGAGCTTTAGACTTTTATCCTTTCATATTAGACTTTTTAATAGAAAATTAAATTTAATCATATTTTAAATAAATTTCGTATACCGAGTTTAAAGGGAAAAAAAAAGAAAGAAGATGGTATATTCTTTTTTCATAGACCAAATATTTTCAATGGCTAATTGTTGGCCATTTGTTTCTTATCCATTTTCATGATTAGGAATCATCATCCAAAATGTTTTCAACTTTATCATCCAATTAAGGCTTAAATTATTAGAGAGAGAGTTTTAAACTATTTTATTATATTACGTCTCAATATGCTGCTTTTACGTATAATATATGATCATATAATTAATGTCGAACATCCTCTTCATCTTCTAATCCCCCCATATGTAACTAGTCACTAAAAAAAGTTGAAACTAACTATAAAATTATTGATAATATCTAATTAATCTGTCGCTGCGTACCTTCTAAGCTAATTAATTTTTTATATAATTCATTACTAATTAGTTCATAGATAAATAAAATTAATATTATTTTTTTATTATTTAGCTATAAAATTTCATCCACCGCTTAATAATTATCTTGTAGCCCCCCATATAAACTAAAAAGGGCGTTTTGCACATGTTAATATTTTATATTGTTACATCAATTATATGGGACTCATAATTAAGTGTGCATGAAGTTCACGTAACTCTCTTTCTTTACCTATATATACCCCTTAAACTTAGTGCAATTGATCATATCATTAAAAAAATATTATATTTCTCTCTACTGAACAAAGTTTTCGATTTAATCAGTATTATAAGTTGCAATAAAAATGGAATTCCTTTGTTTAGCCCCAACACGTAGTTTTTCCACCAATCCCAAATTAACAAAAAGTATTCCTAGCGATCATACTAGTACCACGAGTCGTATTTTCACATACCAAAACATGCGTGGCTCAACGATGAGACCATTAGCGTTGCCGTTAAAAATGTCACCAATTGTTTCTGTGCCGGATATTACAGCTCCGGTGGAAAATGTTCCGGCTATCTTGCCAAAAGTCGTTCCCGGAGAGTTGATAGTGAATAAACCAACGGGGGGCGATAGCGATGAATTGTTTCAATATTTAGTTGATATTTTGGCATCGCCAGTGTATGATGTAGCGATCGAATCGCCATTAGAGCTAGCAGAGAAGCTCTCGGATAGGCTCGGAGTTAATTTTTATATCAAAAGAGAAGATAAACAGAGGGTAAGTTTTTTAGTTTTAGTGTCTATATTTTTATTGAAGATCGACACATTTGAATTTGTGTCACGTGAGACCATGTGGGGGAAGTTTTGATATCTTTTTTTTTATATATATATATATATATATTTTTAATTATAACTTGAACTTCCTATTTAAAAATAGGAATCAATTAATTAGTGACCACTAACTTATGTTACTAAACAATAAAAATAACGAATTATTCAAGAAAAAAATTATGTTACACATGTATTTTTAAAGTTATAGGTTCAAATTTACTATTTTTTTTTCTTCAGTTTGTTTAAAAAAGAAAGAACCCTTCACGTGACATGTTTAAGACCTAAAGATTAAAGGACAGGTTGATATATTTGATATAATTTTAATTCTCATACTCTGTGTTGAAAATACTGAATTCAAATGAATCTCACAATTCAAGATTAATTCTCATACTCTGCGTTGAAAAATACTGAATTCAGATGAATCTCACAATTCAGTAGATTAATTCTCATACTCTGCGTTGAAAAATACTGAATTCAGATGAATCTGACGTTACGTTTCAAAAATAATTTGGTTATTGGTTAGGTGTTTTCATTCAAGCTTAGAGGAGCTTACAACATGATGAGTAACCTCTCAAGGGAGGAATTAGATAAAGGGGTTATAACAGCATCAGCTGGAAATCATGCACAAGGTGTAGCATTAGCTGGTCAAAGACTTAACTGTGTAGCTAAAATTGTCATGCCTACAACCACCCCACAAATCAAGGTAATAATTTAATTTATGTGAATCGGTTTGATTGTATACAGTAAAAGTATGATATTTTGATTTTTTTCTTCTCAAAATACGAAAATAAACTAGTGCCGTGTTAATTAAAACGAAAAAAAAACTATTGTGAAATTAATTATTTTCTAACAATCATGTTTTTTTTTTTTATACAGATTGATGCGGTTAGAGCCCTGGGAGGTGATGTAGTTCTTTATGGTAAAACATTTGATGAAGCTCAAACACACGCGCTGGAATTGAGTGAAAAAGACGGGCTCAAATACATCCCACCATTCGATGATCCAGGAGTCATCAAAGGCCAAGGTACTAACCGGGGGTGGGGGTGGTAATCTAAAATTGTCTGTAAAGTTGATAATAAGGTGAGTCATCAATATTTACCTATGAAGTAAATGTTTAGTTAGTCAACCAACTGAGCTATTAAGATTTTTTTTTTTTAAAAGGGGGAGGGGGGAGGGGGGGAGGGGGGAGGATTGGACGTCAACAAAGTAAAAGTTCAGTCCAGATAGTCAACTAATTAAGTTACTAATTTTTCGTCTTTTTACTTGTTTAAATAATGATCATTATTTACGTAAAATTCTGCGTACGTCAGGTACAATTGGAACAGAGATAAACCGTCAACTGAAGGACATTCACGCTGTGTTTATACCTGTTGGTGGTGGGGGTTTGATAGCTGGTGTTGCTACCTTTTTCAAACAAATTGCCCCAAATACAAAAATTATTGGAGTTGAGCCATATGGTGCAGCTTCAATGACATTGTCATTGCATGAAGGACATAGAGTGAAATTATCAAATGTTGATACTTTTGCTGACGGTGTAGCTGTTGCACTAGTTGGTGAATACACTTTTGCAAAATGCCAAGAGTTAATTGATGGAATGGTACTTGTTGCAAATGATGGTATTAGTGCTGCAATAAAGGTTAGCTAGACACATCATCTTTTGTCTTTTTTTTTTATGTTTCGCGTTCGATATTTGGTATTTATTTTGAACACGTGAAGTTCAGTCATTTTAAGTCGGAATTCGATTATTTTTTTTCCTTTTGTTGTCAAAATAGGATGTGTATGATGAAGGAAGGAACATATTAGAGACATCAGGTGCAGTGGCCATAGCTGGAGCTGCAGCCTATTGTGAATTTTATAAAATAAAAAATGAAAATATTGTAGCAATTGCAAGTGGAGCTAATATGGATTTCAGCAAACTACACAAAGTTACAGAGTTAGCAGGGTTAGGTTCAGGCAAAGAGGCTTTATTGGCTACTTTTATGGTAGAACAACAAGGAAGCTTCAAGACATTTGTTGGACTTGTAAGTTATCTGCTTCGATTCTTTAAAAATATCGTTTCGTTATGTATAGTGACGAATCAAGAATTTTTATTGAGTGAGTGGAGTTATATAAAAATCTATTTGAACTCTTTAAATATATCGTTTGATATCTGCATTGAAGAATTTAGAATTTTCATTAAAAGAGTCGTTTAGAAAAATCCACTAGTTCAGCTAAGAATTAAGAATTTTCATTGAAGGGATCACATAGAAAAATTTACCTGTTGCATCGTTGTTTGAACTCATTAAAAATATGATTCGGTAATTAGGATTTTCACTAATAGCGTTTGCATTGTTGTTTGAATTTTTTTAAAATGTCGTTTAGTATATGTGTTGAAGATTTCAGAATTTTTATTAAAGGAGTTATATAGAAAAAAATTTACTTCTTGCTGTTGTTGTTTGTACTCATTAAAAAATATCGTTTCATATCAACTTGTTTGTTCGTATATTAATTCAATCGATTTTGAACCTAACAATTTTACAATGTTTTTTTTTTATATATATTATTATTTGGGATAAAAATTGAAATTTTAACTTTGAATTACAGGTGGGCTCTTTGAATTTTACTGAATTGACATACAGATTCACTTCTGAAAGGAAAAATGCTCTAATTTTGTACAGGTAATTAAATTAATTTCCTTCAATTTTAAATTTTATTTGTTATTTACTATTATATTCAATTTTTAGATTATTAATTAATTATATTATTGATTTTGCAGGGTTAATGTTGATAAAGAATCAGATCTTGAAAAAATGATTGAGGATATGAAATCATCAAATATGACTACTCTTAATCTCTCACATAATGAATTGGTTGTAGACCATCTAAAACATTTGGTAATGTCCTTTTTTAAAAAATATTATTATTATTATTTATCAATTTTTTTTAATTACTTTAAACGAATAATTATTATTTTATTTTTATTTTTCTTAATAGGTTGGTGGCTCAGCAAATATCAGTGATGAAATTTTCGGTGAATTTATTGTACCTGAGAAGGCTGAAACTTTAAAAACATTCTTAGACGCTTTCTCCCCTCGTTGGAATATAACTTTATGCCGTTACCGTAATCAGGTAAATTATATACACTGACAATATAATAATAACTTGGGAGGATTTATTATAATTTAATTTTTATTTTATTTTATTGCCATGACAGGGAGATATAAATGCAAGTTTGTTGATGGGATTCCAAGTTCCTCAAGCTGAGATGGATGAGTTCAAAAATCAAGCTGATAAGCTTGGTTATCCATATGAACTTGATAATTATAATGAGGCTTTTAACCTTGTAGTAAGTGAGTGAAGAAATAAAAAATTTGTTGTTCTAAGTTTAAATTATTGAAAATCCTAAAAAAAATAAAATAATAATCGTGTCGTACCAATCTACTTAGTAAGGAATAATTGATGAATTAACTTGTTATAAGTTAATTTCATATTGTATGAATAATAAGATGCATGTATCCAATGTAATGTAATGGCTTTTTAAGTTTCATTAAGAAATAATTTATTATTGTCAATTACTTATTCATAGTAATCATAAAATTCTTGGATCATTTTTATCCTTTAATGATAGAATATAAGATTGATCAAATTCTATCGAGTTTAACTCATAGTGATTATAAAATTCTCGATCAGTTCAACCCCTTGGTGATAGAAGGCAAGATTTGATCAAATTCTATCGAGTCTGACTCATAGTGATCATACAACTCTTGGATCAATTCTACCCTTAGCAACATAATATAAGACTGATCAAATTCTATCGAGCCTTACTCGTAGTGGACAATGATCATTATAAAAAAAAAGAGTGGCAAGCAAAAGGTATTTGAAAGTGAAAGCAAAAAAATTGAAAGTAAAAATTCTAAAAGAAAGAAACAAATGTGTACATCCACTTGATTCAATGTCATAGCAGAATTTAACAGTCATATAATTTGAACAAATAATAAATACTACTAATCTACAATATCATCATCTTCTTCACCTTCCTAAACTCATATATTTTCCAGTACTTTTCCCCTTTCTTCTGTCCCTTTTTCGTATCGCAAATGGCAATCTACAGATAAAGATATTTGATGATCTTTCACCAACAAGAAACAGTAAAGAGACAACGAGTTAACGCACAAGCTTCCAAGCTTTGTGCATGATTTCATCGTCTATGTAGGGGCGCAACGACCACATGCTGGAGTAGCTCTCCAGTTCTCCGGAAGGTGAAGTGAGGTTAAGGGAAGAAACAATCTTTTCCTGATACAGGTAAGAAAAAGAAAAGGATTAAAATTACGCGGTTAGCTGATTCTAAGCCAACGGAAGAAGACTATTTACCTGCATTGTGTAGTCACTTTTTACCATAGAGTATACCACCGCCATCATTACTGCAATATCAGTGATTTCATGTTCCAGAGGATCAATAGAAGAAGCTTCTGCCTACGTTATTATAAAAGATCAGTTATACGGGAAGCATATATACGTGCAAGATCAGCCTAAAGATCATATGATCGCTTTAGATATTTTTTTCCGTTTAACAAATAAGCGTACATCAATAAACCATGTCTGTTTTAGTAACTTAAATTGGAAATTTGAGTGCACATTACGAGTTTTAAAAGGATAAAAGGATCTTACTTCATCATGACAGGTTTCTAATGGGTTTGCATTGTTGTTAACATTTAGTTCTCCCACTTGAGCCAAACTGCAATTTATCGATTGCACTACAGCTTCCGCTTCCTTTAAAAGGCATGCAAGTTCATCAACTACAACCTTTGCTGCAATTAAATATCAGAGCATTTTATGATCTGAACTCCAAATCCAATTGGGAAATCACGTAATTTTTCACTTATCATAAAAATTGTAAATGAAATTATTCTATGCAGGGTAATTTGAATAATGAACAAACCAATAGTAGCGCCAGTTAATCTCTGAGGAAAACCTAGATTAACATCTTTGCATATAGAAGTTATGTAACTGCGGTCACACTCTTATACAACCTTCTCTAAAATCGATTATATGAAGCCCCATATATGTTCCAAATCAAGAGACTTTATTTGGTTTCATAAGTTGAATCAATCTTTTTATTCCTAACATGTTAATGTTAATCTTAAGGCAAGCCAATGTGTGTGGCAAGTACAGCTGAAGAAGACACCGCTGAACATACTTCTATTTGCCATAAATGGAAAAATTGACCGTGCATTAGCATCTTTAATTAACCTGGTGCAAAATTAGTTGGATCAGGAGTTTTTCCAATCACTTCTTTGCTAGTTAGCTTAGTACAATTCAGACTTCCCCACCTATTTCCAACAATAGGGATTAATTAATCCCATGAAAATTATCGGAGAAGAATTAGCAAGAAAAAGCCATAAATGCAAACGCACCAGAAATTTCTCCTAAACTAGCTATGTCCCAGCAACTATCTTTTTGTGTGTATGTGGTCCCGGAAAGGGACCGTAAGCGTTTTCATGGCATCACAACTTCAACCTACTCCTTCAAAACTAGATGCTTAGAAAGCCTACAGCTGACTACATTTTGGATTCTGTTAGCTCCGTGACTATAGAGCATTGAATGGATATACTGTGGTACTGAAATTTATTGCTACTGTAAAGTAACAACATAAAAGATGATATAGGAAAAAATTATTTCAGGACAGGGAATACCTTCATTTACGTGATTCTGAAGTCCTAGGTGGCTTGTATGTACTTCTGTGCAGAAGAAAACCCAAGTTATGAAGAGAAATAGCACCAAAACAAATCTAAGGAAAAAAACTGGAAAAAAAAAGGAGAAATTCGAGACTAGATGTGAAGACAGTAACAGCAACATAAATCAAATCATCAAGACAATTTGCCACACCTCATGTTAATATATAGATATGTGAAAGATTTGTACCAAGATGTTTAAACAGTCTACTATATGGAAATGATATAAGCGAAACATAATTATAAAACCTAAACTCTCGCAACGAAAAAGAAAGATATAATACATTACTAGACTTGGACTCGACTTGGCTAGTAAGTATTTCAACTTTGAGTATATATATCTCGACACCTTAATTCGTTCTCCAGTGTGTCAATTGAACACTCTATCTTATAAGATAATCATCTAGACACCTTCAAAATTTATGTGCCACATGTAAGGTGTCCACGACACAATGGAGACGAGTTGAAGTGTTAAGTTGCCAATTGCCACCAAGTTAAGGTGTCTAGATATGCAATCACAAAGTTGAACTGCTACTTACTTGCCAGTTGTGGCCAAGTTTGAGCGTGTTTACATATTATACCACAAAGAAATGACAAATCATAAATACATAAGTATTAGGTATGCAATATGTATCGATGCAAATAACTGAAATTGTCGTAAAAACAAGAGAGGTAACTTTACAGCGTCTAGTAAACTTACTGTGAAAAGCACCACCTCATATAATTCCTTCATATTAACTGTTCTTTCATAAAGATAGATTCAACATTTACGGAACACTTACACTTGGACATAGTGTGTATCGAATCATGAGCGTTCCTACATCCAGCTTCTATATAGGAGGAAAGCCTCGTGCTTTCATTATCTCTAATGATACGCTCGACCAATTCAGAATTCTTTTCAATTGGTTGACGCCGAAGATACTCTAACAAAAGCAGGCAAAATAAGCTACATTCATTATAGAGCATACAAAACACTAATTTTACTCTAGTAGTAGATCCATTCACACAGATGCTACAACACTCACCGAGTCCTTGCTGAAATCCAACTAGTAATCTACTTCCCACTTCCACTAACTCATCGAACTTCGCAATCCTGAAATATAGAGAGAACTAACTTAGTGTAATACTTTGCAGAACTGTTCACCATTTTCAAATTAACAACAGAATAACCCGTGTATCCAGACCTTACCACTACCTCGTGAAACGATTTTTTCATACAAATTCTACAAGTCAACCCATGTTAAAAGTGTGAATTCTTTACTATCAGTTTAAACCCAAAAATCATAATTTTTTTAATTGTCCAAATAGCAGATGATGAACGTTAGCTGGGAATTCTGCAAAAACTACATTTTATTCAATTTACAGAAAGTTCCATTCGAACATTTATCCATCACAAAATTCGAATTAAATTACATTCAATTGTTGTTTGCTCGTGTAAATTGAATTGAAATAAAGTTCAAAAAGTAAGGAAGAACGAAGCAAATAAAAAAACAGAACAAAATAACGATAGCCAGATTTGCGTATAAACCTAAGCATAAAATCTGAAAAAGTATGAAAAATCTTCTCTTTGGATTTAAGCAAGGTACCGCCATCTTCTATTTCCATGGCGAAGTGAACGGCAAACACTCTTTCACCGGCAATGGCTTCTGCCGGAAAGTTATCGGCGGCGATTTTGGTCTGTTTACCTCTTTTAAGGAATTTTTAACCAAAATTTGAGCACATTTAGTCCAAAGTAACAAAAAATAATCACTTCCCTCACTAAACTAATCTGGAAACGTCACAAATGGTCCTGAACTATTAAGATAGATTTAAAATAGCGTTTTAATTATACATTTATCGAATTTAGTCTTTTTAACCATTTAAAATTCTTATCAGGTTTCGTCTTTTAATGGTACACGTATTGAATTTAGATCATTACTAATTATTAATTTTTAGTCCCGTAACTAAAATTGTGAGTGTATGGTTAAAGGATCAAATTTGATAAGTTTTGAAATAGTTTAGAGGGCTAGATTCAATAAGTATATAGTTAATAGACTATTTAGACCTACTTCAATATTTCAGGAACCATTTATAACGTAACAAATATATAGATTGAGCTAAATTTGAATAGGTTAAAATATATTGAGTTGATAAATTAGCGAATTATTAATTTATTCAGAGAATACTTGAATTAAAACGGACTATGGATTAACAACTCAACTCGTCTAACTCTCATTAAGTTTTGGTTGTTCTATTTAGTTCTTATAGTCTTTTTAATATCTTGTAAAATTATTACTTTTTATTACTCCATGACTGTATATAACATATTAAACAAATTAAAAAAATTGAAACCACTTTGACAAAATTTTGGCCTGTATTCAAATTGAACTTTAGTGTTAAAGAATTTTCAGTTAATTCTATAGTGAGGTGTTGTCGAAAGTTTGGTACGATACAAGCAATTAGGGTCTCTAACTTTGTTATTGGTATGAATTATAAGAAATTTTTTATATCGAGTTAAAGCTAAAAAGATCATTTTATTAATGCTCAAAATAAAAATAACTGCACTATAACACTAAGATAAAATTGTTGAGTTTGATTCAACTTTCCTATTGGCTTACTCTTAAATTTAAGGTATTACATGTTATTTTCTATGTTTCGATTGTCATATTATTTATTATAGCTATTTTTTCCTTCTCCGTTGTTTTACGACTTCTTTACTAATATGTTTTTACCTTACATACTTGATTTTTTATATTCATTACTAATTTATTGAAAACAACATTTCTACCTCCACAAGAGTAAACTGCGTAAACAACACCTTCTTCAGACCTCACTAATGAAGTTACACTTATTGTCGTTGTAACTCGTATAACTTGTAATCAGAATAAACCAATATGAAGTTGCACGAGGAATGGTTCACGACATTTTTGCTTCAGGTTCTGCAAAGTAAGCTAAAGCTTTTATATTAACACTCCAAATAATATACTTTTAACCCCAATAATCTTACTTTACCATTACCTTTAGGAGGTGCCAAAGATGCATCTTCACCTGGAAATGAGCAACTTTTTATCCAACAGTCATTTTCACTTCAACCTTTTAAATTGAAATCTGCTCAAAATTCTCATACCAATAAAATAAAGAAAGGAGGAGAAGATTTACTATAGGAGAAAAGAACAATGGGGTTCTTGATGTCTGTCTTAAGCGGTTTTCTCCTCGCGATGGTATTTTCTGTATCTAATGGAGACCCTTTAGTTCCAGCATTGTGTATATTTGGTGACTCTGTAGTTGATGTTGGAAACAATAACAACTTAAGCACTCTCATCAAGGCAAATTTTCCGCCTTATGGAAGAGATTTTGTTAACCATAAACCTACCGGAAGGTTCTGCAATGGAAAGCTGGCCACAGACTACACTGGTAATGTCTAAAAAACATTTCAATAATTGTTTCTTCAAAAAGAAAAAAGTAAATGTCCTCTATTGTTTCTCATGCATGCATGTTTTTATCCACAGCTGAATATCTTGGGTTCACTTCATACCCACCGGCTTACCTGAGCCGAGAAGCTAGAGGGAAAAAAGTTCTTACTGGTGTCAATTTTGCCTCTGCTGCTTCTGGTTATTATGAAAGGACTGCTCGACTGTTTGTAAGTACTCGAATATGTCTGAGAATAGAAATCAGCCGATGTTTAGAGGATGACTAACTTGGAAATGTCATGGTTTTTGCAGCGTGCTCTGACGTTGACACGTCAACTTAAATATTATAAGTTGTGGCAAAGGAAAGTAGTGAATCTGGTAGGGAGGACCAATGCTACTAACATTTTCTCAAGAGGAATACATATTTTAAGTGCAGGAAGCAGTGATTTCATGCAAAACTACTATATAAATCCACTACTCAACAGAGTCTACTCACCTGCTCAGTTCTCAGATATCCTCATGAAGTCTTACTCTACATTCGTTCAGGTCCAGCTTCCTCTTCTATGTACTATTCGTTACCGCTTCTTCAACTGTTACCATAAACAAATTCTTAAATCCGAGCAACCTGCACGAAATTACTATGCGTAACAAGAGCATTATCAAATGAAAATGCAATTAGGACTAACCTATTATAATGTCCTAACTCAAGATAATTGGACTAAAATTTACTACGTACGATAGAAAGAGCCCTGGAAATAAATTTAAGTTCCAACTCTTATTTGAAAAACAGAGCAAGCAAGCCCATGCACGAATCATAATAAGCACTTATCAAATTACAGAAACTTAGGATTGTTACAGGATGTACAAGGATGACATACACTTGACCACCAGGTAGACTTATCCTGAAACTAAGAAATAAGGTCAAGCTGTATTTATATATCACAAACTAAGAACTATATTATGTGTATTCATTTATACACAAGCCAATCAATATGTTAATATCAGCAGCGATCAATGTACAGAACCTCTATGATCTGGGAGCAAGGAGGATTGGGGTTACAACTCTGCCACCAACTGGTTGTTTGCCAGCTGCCGTTACTTTGTTCGGCAGAGGAACCAACGAGTGTGTTGCAAAACTGAACAAAGATGCTATCTCTTTCAACAAGAAGCTAAACAGGACATCTGAAAAGTTAAAGAGCAAGCTTCCTGGCATCAAGCTTGTAGTCTTCGACATCTACCAACCTCTCTTTGATCTGATCATAAAACCTGCAGAAAGTGGTAACATGTTGAGACTTTTTCTTCCTACTCCTTTCCTACTTTTTTTCTCAAACTCGCTCATCTTTCAAAAGTATTGAAAGCACAAACATGTACAGAATTTTATTGTCAATTTTTTTTAAAAAAAAATTCTCATATCTTGAACTTGACATAGGAATAAATGTAAATTTCTAAAATGGGTTTCCTGCTACTGTATACTAAAATAAAAAAGGTGAATTAGGAAATGGCCCCTTCTTGATCCATTTTTGCTCAAAATATTCCTCTTTTCCAGGATTTTTCGAATCAAGAAAGGCTTGCTGCGGGACTGGTACACTAGAAACATCATTCCTTTGTAATGCTAGGTCCATCGGAACATGCTCCAATGCTACAAATTATGTCTTCTGGGATGGATTTCATCCCTCACAATCGGCAAATGAGAAGTTAGCTCAAAGTCTGTTGGAGCAGGGTTTTGACCTCATATCTTAAAGCCTCAATGCTGCAGAATGGTCGACTTTGTATTATTATGTTTATTACTTTCAAACTTGAAAGAGGCTTTAGTCAGTCTTAGTTCATAAAAGAGCTTAAGTATATTCCATATGATAGCAGTTACAGCAAGTACAAAATGTCTGACAGCTTTCCCAGCTTGGGAATATGTTTTTCGGTATTTGATGTACTGTCAAATGAAAGTCAACTGAAAGAGCAGTATTCTGTAAGTCTTTTGAGTCGTCCCATGAAATGAGCTCTATTCAACACTAAATATTCTACTTGATTTCCTAGCCATAATTTATTTATTTATTTTTAAAAAGGAAGACCTGTTTAAATCAAAGTAAGTTACAAGAATTTCCGTTTGTCATATAAAAAAAATCAATCTTCTGGTATATTCTTTCTTTTGGCGGCAGGGAAGGAGAGGGAGTCGATCTTTTGCTAGCTCTTGTGTTCACAAACAAAGAGAAAACCACTTTACCTGCGCAATAGTTATGAAAGTTCGAAACCAGCATTGGAATTGATAGCATATAGAAGCTTTGCTCTCAAGGTATTTTGGCGTTTGTATGTTGGAAGCTGTCAAAGGCAGAAGGAAAAATACAGATTATTGGAATATGTTCGAGTTAAAAGAGATCTTGTTGTTGAAAGCTACCTTGATTTTCAATTTGACAAAATATGAGTTGGATTAGGTCCATTCAATGCCTCAAACTTAACGTAGTTTAATTAACCGTACCTTGAGGGTGTTGTAGCAAGTAGAAGCTGAAGGGAGCCGATCAACATCCTGTCCCCCGAATGTCGCCAATAGTGGCAAATCACAAGAAACCTATATTCACGAAATTTCATTACTATTAACCACTGCTAATCAACGCATTCCGTTTAAATTTTGGTATATACATTTTCTCTAGTTTCCTTTCCCTTTCTTTCAAAAGTTTTTGGTATTTATTTGTTTTCATGGCCATCTCCCCCCTCCCTCTTCACACTAAAAATGAAAAACAATAAAATTAAAAAATAGGCCTTTAGAACATAAAGAAGTGCAACAAACATCAGGAAGCCAGAAGAGTAAGATTTTCAAAAATGCTGGTGTAGAGTGATTGCTGGGAAGACGAGAAGGAAAAACAGCTTGTAATCAATAAAAGTATGTACGAGGAACCACTTTAGGAAACTCACACACAAGAACAAGTACATCATGCCGATAAATGCCAAAAAGTTACTAAAAATGTGTTAATTAAGTTGTTTCGGATAATAATTTAAGAAAAAAGGAATAATCTTGTCAATTGTTAAATTAAAAAAAAACATGACACATAATGTGGTCATTTCAAGTGAAGCATTTGTTTCCTTTTGTAATTTGTCTATTTTATAACATTTGGCTTCTTGTTAGGGAAGGAAATTTCTGATCAGTTTTAGTTTGTTCACATTAGAGTGGGATGATCTACAAGATTTTTCTCCGCATTACCTTCCTCAAACCATTGAAGCAAATTGAGAAACATGGAAATAAAAGATTGTAAAGAAAAAGAAGAAAAAAACAGCCCCGTGCACTAAGCTCCTGCTAAGTGCAGGTTCCGGGAAGAGCAAGGCCTCAAGGGTATCCTGAATGCAGCCTTGCCCTGCATTTTTGCAAGGAAATGATACATTGTATCCATAATTAAACCAAAATCAAGGCTGTCTCGTTTCCCTTTCCATAAGGCGCAAGATACCAAAATACAGAATGTGTCTACATATGACGATGCACTACTTAAAGCTTCAAATCTCAGCCACATTTGCACCTCTCCAAGACTGTCACTGTCAGCCAGTGGCTTGCAGGAGATAGTTTGTATCCCAGCACCAACACATTGGGGTTGAACTCGATTAAGAGACATGGGTCCTGTTCAGTTCCACACAAATTTCCAATCTATGGAGAAGATAAAATTTTGTTGTCGGCCCCCAAATTCATGTTTCTTTATGAGGATTTTGCAGAAATTTTTTAGAAGACGCAAAACTGATAAATATCGTCTATCCTGCATTTTCCATCCAAAGTGAAACACTGGAGCCGGTTTACCAACAAATGAGATGCCAGTCACATCAGTTCACCAACCAGTAGAAACTTTCCCTGCACTCCTATTTCTGGGTTCTTTCGGCAGCTTAACTCTTAATAACTTTACCCCCTTGTTACACTTTCACCATTGTCGATTGACCATTTTATTACTACTTTACCCAACATCCAGGAAAAAAAATACGGTGCTCATTATTAATCTTTAGAGTACAAAATCTGGTAATAAAAGCATTCTTATCTGTTTATCATCTTCATGTGTGCTAGGTGGTTTCGGTATATGGGGGGAGGGGACAAGAAGTGCATACAGCATACCTTGTGAATGGTGAAGGTTGGCTGCAGATATTTGAACCCAAGCAAAGGAGCTCGCGAACAACTAGTCACAAACTTAAGCAGCAAACACCGTTCTTTTGGTTCAAAACTTGCAAATACCTAAACCACAAGAACAATAGTTAGAAATGCTTAATTGTCTTCAATGGTTTATTCTCCTACTCCACTTTCCATCACATACATATGACTAGATAACACCAAACAATATAAAATCTTTTCTTAGACCAAGTTTCTTATTTTGAGAAATGTTTGTTTGAGACGGTTCAAGTAGACAATGGTGGATATCACATTTCAAGTTTCTTAACATATAAAGAAAAAGAGAGAGAGAGGGATAATTGATGCATACCTCCCAGAAGAGTTTAACTGTCCGACTTCCTTCAGTATAACCTCCAGTATAGCGTGTATTCTTCCTTAAATCATCAATGTCAATATCATGGTTTCCCCCTGAAAGCAACTGGATAAAACTTTAGATTAGCTGAAATGAAAGCATGCAGTCCAGCAAAAGAAAAGCCTTTGTAATTTATGTGGCTTTCAACTTATTCTCATACCACAGATGACTTAAGCCAATTATTTATGCCTTCCATTCTATTGTCTGCATGTCATGTCAGTTCCTTAATTTTAAAGAAATGTGGAGAACCAGATAAGATATAACAAAAATTGCAGAGGTGTTGCCGATACATTCAGCATTTACAAAGCCAATTGTTGATTGAATAAGCAAAGAGATAGCGAAGTCTAAAACTAGCATGGAAAGAACAAGGAAAGATCAGTTGATGGTAGAATCTCATACCCCATGAGGAATCCAGTAACATTCTGGATTGACGGTAGGATAACAGAGTAAGAACATACATATCTCTCCTATACCCATACACACAGCAACTACATGCACATGCAAGCTTATACGCATCTGTAATAAAGAACAAGTCCAAATAGAGAGGCATCCGTCTCTATTTTACAAGAAGCAATAAAATCACTCGGTATGCAATCAAAATCTATGTTACATTAGCAGAGACATGGTTATGCATCAACTGCAGGACTATTCCTTACAGGTAAATTTCATTCAGCAGGTTTTATTTTGAAGGATCCAAACACAGCCATATCAGACCTGTTTGGTAATTAAATTAAGTCAAATGAAGAGTCCATGTAACATAGATTCTGATCTACTAGCCACCTCCCAAGTCGAGCTTAACATGAAAACTCAGGCTATAACCTGCTACAGTGTTTGTGGAAGGGGTAAACAATAGGGAAAGAAAATTGAACATGGAGCTACTAAAACTGAAACATGAAATTCTGCTTAGATATGCACAGACGGAATTACCTGATTAAATTCACTTGCGTTAAACAACTTTAACCAGGAAGGGGATATAAGGTCCGTCAGTCCTCTATAAAATGCATTTGAGAAAGGAAGTATCTGCCATTGAGTGTTAGAAACAATAAGTCACCAATACCAGCATATGGGGATCTAAAAGTAGGAGCACAAGTATCAATACCTGCCGATTTAATTTAAAATCTGCCATTGCATGAACATATTGCAACATGTTTTCTTTTGTTACAGAAATATCCTTGCCACCAGGTTTAAGCTCAATAACAATGTGTTTGCCCAATGACTCCTCCATAACTGTAAAATCCAATGCGAGGTCCTTGACATCACCATCATAGTGCTGCATAGACCGAAACCAAATATAAGTCTTCCGCATAGTTCCATCAAAATTGGATATGGATATATAGAGGCTTGGGGTTGATGATTATGTAAGATTGAAACTTTATTACTGTCCTCATCAGATAACTTCTTTTGTTTTAGATAATGGTCGTAACTTTCTTTCTTTTTTAGAATGGTAACATTACTGTCCCAGTTAGATAATTATCACTAATATAAGTACAAATAGGTGAGTCTATATTCCATATTAATCAAATCATTAATATATTTTTATCCTTAATTTTTCATAAATTATCGGAGCCATAATGATCTTAGGAGAGACAACATCTACGATTAATAACGATCTCATAAGAGACCTAATTAACTTCAGCTATCTACTGCAGCCCTCTTACTTCCAGATATAGTTCCAGCAGCACCATTCATCTTAAATTCAAATGCCTTCTTCACCGAGTGTTCTGGAAACACCACTCCTCTTATCAGTTACGAGCCCTGCAGTGTCACCTCTTTCCACCCGTTATTTCGCCACTATATTAAGCAACTGTTGTAATGTTCTGATAGTCAGACCTTTTTGCAACTTTTCTTTAGGCAATTCTCGAAAACATGGAATTCACTTATTTTAAAGATTGACAGCTTCTGTAGCAAATTACACAATGTTCCTTCAGTTCCAAACACTTAAACAATCGTCTCCACAATTATTGTATGACATTCAAATCAGTAATCATATTTTTTGTGTTTCCCAGTCCTCCAATCTGACCTAAAATAAATAACTCAGGAGCTTCCTATCATCTTTCTGGTAATATTTCTTTTTTCTTGACAAGTCTCTGGTAATAACTTTTTTCTATGTTATTTCTTCATCAATAAATCAAAATATGGCATCAGAGTAAGTAGAGACAATTTACAGAATTAAAAAAGTGAGCACATTTATTTTATCATTTTAGGTTTCAAACATGTTCCATTTTCTTCACCCAAACACATGAAAATATTTCCTGACCAGTGACGGTGAAACTCAAACCTCCAAAATCTCAAGGTGCTTTAATTTTAAAACAGAACAGGAAGGAAGAAAGAGATTATCAAGCGCTGAAAAGGCACTTGACAACAAAATAAATTGGAAATGAATGTAGAAATTAACTTACTTCTCACCCGTAAGCTACAATTCTTTGTGGACTATTTGCTTAAATACAATAGAGTTGAAGTGCTTAAAAAGTTTTTAAGAACATTCTGTAAAATGCAAATAGAAAAATGTTTTCTTCTTCCAATGTTGATTTTGGGTAGGTAGAGTGTTCTTCCCTTTCAACAGCTCTTTTAAAGCACATCAAGGTGACTATCACAAGGAGTAATTAGCTACTCATTTTTGCTTGTCGTTTAGTCATTTGTAAGTAACTCTTTAAGAATGAAATTTCTGGAATTGATTCAAAGCATTTACCTTAACATACATAAGATTCCTGTATAGCTCAGGATCAAGTGTAGACAATTCATCAAGAAAGCTATAGCGGCCCAACAGCTTTTGGACAAAAACATGTGAAAAGGAATAATCTAGCAATATTCCTTCATAGAGTGCTTTGCCAACGATTCTCCCCAGAAACTCGATCATTTGAATTCCATTGTCCAAAAATCTTGCAGCTGTATTAGGAATTAGATGTCTATCTGAAGTCAAGGTCTGTGTGAATAGCCCATACCTTACAAAATAGAACCAATTACAAAGATCTCAAGTCATTTCAGAGAGCAAAAAATGAGATGGCTAACTTGATAAATACATGAGCAAAGGCAACTCACTCAGGTGAGAAGGCTGCTTTGGCTATTTCTGTCAAGAATTCCTTGGATAGCCCACCATAGTCCAGGCCAGCCTCTGGAAGACCAGACTCATTCACGAAAGAGACGTGGATGCCGGACTTTAACCTTGATCCTAAGTTATTTAATTGCTGAAATCCATCTTCAATAATATGACCACGACGAATTACTATCTCGACGGAACGTCCACCAGGTCCAAGAACTTCACCAGCCATTTTTCTCGATGCCTTGTCCATGTTGATGAATTCTCTAAACATCTCAACCCTGTCAAGGACCAGAAATGATTTAGATCATTGCTAGACCAGAAGAAAACAACTGGCACCCTTGGGTATGAAAAGGCTAGAAACAGTGGCATGTGTGATTCCAAATTATACCCCCTGATGCAAGAACTACACATTTGAATTCATGTAAGTCGACATAGCAACATCTCTTGGTCTAGAAATCAAAAGCAAATTATTCTTTTTATGATTACATTGGACCTACGAGACTGACCTCGGTGGTTTGAGCCACAACATGCAACATCATCATATACAGTGGTGACCAATGTATAAGTATAATTCCAAATTATTAAGGAAATACACGGAAAATTCACACAACCACATTGCATATGTATTTATGCCATTCAAATATTAGAAGGACGGAGCATAAGTCCATAAAGCTTCTTATGGCAACATATAAAAAGGTTAATGTATTTATACTGTCGACAAAGGGTCGAACCAAAACCCCAATCAGAACAACTGAAGAGTAAACTACCTCATATTATGATTAGGAATTTACACTCCAGGGTGCTAAAGGCAATAGCAGTCGGCGTTAAAAATACTACTGTCCCAAAGCAAATTTGGTGGTGTTGGTGTCATTGACTTCCTCAGCTCAGCAGGGGCTTCAAGAAGATATCCTAATCACATGATGATGAAGTTCAAATGTTTAAAAACTACGTGCCTAATAATACAAATTGGGACGGCTGGAGTACCATATATTTTAGTGTGGACAAGCAAGACTGAAGCAAAAATATGAACAAACAGATAAGAATCTTAACTAATTCACCCAAACAACAAAAGATGAAAGGCACAGAGCGTCACAGACAAAACCCATGAGCTGTCAATGTCAAGCACAGGAAAGGAGCATTTGGACAAACTCTAGATATTAAAAACTGTCAGAATAAACTTAAGGGTAAATGAATGATGATAGCTTATGATGAGTTTTTCGTGTCGGAACTACCTTTCTTCAAATGGGAAGATGTGTGGGATAACAGTAATGATGGAGCCCATGCTCAAAGTGGTTGAGGCATCATCACCGTTTGAAGTAGCTGACAAAACCTCATGAGTCCTAGCAGCTACAGCAATGGGTGGCCGATTATTTCTACCTGGTGAAAGCCACAAAGTGGGAGGGCAAAATTGGTGCCTGCAATCCCTTTCATACAATAAATGAAGACATTTGATAGCAGAATCTGTCAGAGGTCTACTTTTAGGACCAGTACTGTGCGAAATTGTATTATAAACCAATGTATTCAGCACCGACACAATTTTCTGCTGCTGCTCCAATGTAAAGGGGACCTACATTCACATAACTCTAACTTTTAGGACATTTTTGAAACTTACTTTTAGGACATATTAATATCATTGTAATGACATTAGAAAATCATATATAGCTTGAAATATTTAAATTAAATAGAAACCTGACCTGTTTCTCATAAAACTCTAGGTCATCAAGAACTAACAACAGGTGTGAATAACTAGCGCAAAACAGATGTAGTAGACAAGACAAATCTTTTGATAGGCCATCAGGACCCTGCCTTAGCAATTCAATGTCCCACATATCAGAATAATGCTTGTCAATGTGCACTGCTTTTGATTTTCCATCAACCGGATCCACACTTCTGAACTCAGTTTGTGATTTCCCAGTTATCTTTAGAAACACGCTAGCCCATTTGCTGCCTATATCTTTAGAAGAATGTTTTTGCTTTCTCTCAGAAGCCTCAAGAATCCTGTTTTCAGAAATTGTACTTTCATCCAAATATTTGCCCTTACTGACAAGATTCTTTCCTTGAAAAAGTAATTCATCGAGGGTTGCCCACAGGTTGGAAAGAAACCCGGGAGTAAAAGACAGCATGTTGAGGACTGGCATTGCCCCTAGCACCGGATTCAAAATAGAAAATACTCTGAGCATCCATGAATAGTAGTAAGCAACATCAAGCAATTCAAAGCTCCCAGAAGATTCTGCTCCGCATAAGGGTAAACTTTCAGCTTTCTGAATGAGACCATCTTTCTCCAACACTAAAAGTTCCATCAAATGTCTCTGCAGCCAAACAGGCTTAAAGAGGCTCATGTACGACATCTTTAAGGATCCAAAAGTTGTCTCGACTTCAACAGAATTTCCGTCACCTTGAACTTCTTGGTTCTCCTTTCTCACCCATCCAGCACTTTCAATCTGGTATAATAATTTCTCCGTCAGCATAATCACTACATGGACATAGGATTGACGGTCTAAACCGGACACTAACTTTCCAGAATCTAAGTTATTGCTTTCACTGCCTGCAGCAAGGTATATAAAATTTCCAAGAGCCCAACCAACTGGTGGCATCACCCTGTTGTGAGAAGAACTTGTCATCTGATCCATATCTGACATTTCCTTTAGAATTTTCTCCTTCGACATCTGCCATCACCTGTCACAGTTTGATCAGTCCCTTCGCATTCTAAAATCCATAACTGCATCAGAAATAACGCAAAATATGGATGCTAATTCAACTATGGAAAGGTATCAGTATAGTAATTTGCATTAACTGTAGATACAGAGATGATCACCAAAATGAAATTGGTAAGTGCTATTGCAGGCTGCCTCAGCAATTTAGATAATGTGAGTCATCACAAGTTCAAGGAATAATAAATAAAAACTTCTCTGAATTTGGCTCCATTTGCAACTCACACACCTAAACTAGGAAGTGATTATATTACCCCCCCCCCCCTTGAACTTCCATTTTATCTATCTATTAACACCTTGAAGTGCCAAGTGGCATAGAGAAGTTTCAACTCTTGTATGGTGCACGAGAGCAAAGAAAGAAATATAATAAGAAGAAACTATATTGACTATTTGTTTTCCAAACGACTTAATGTCATTGGTAACAATATTTGTTCCAACTGTGTATCTTTTTTTTTTTTGTTTACTTCTCTCATTTATTTATTTTCTTTGTTTAGAATGTTGGATCTGATCCAATGAAATAGAACCAGATCCAAGCTTTTCAGAGATATGATGGGAAAAAATGGATTCCATAATCTGCTTTAGTTAAACAAACAATTTATTAGTAAAATGCCGCATGTTTAAAAAGTCCACGTGGTTAGAGTGTGAAAAAAAAAAAGAAGGAAGTTCAAGGCTGTAATATAAGTTCCTCATAATTTAGGCGAATAAGTTGGAAATAGAGCCAAGTGCTATACTGAAATTCAAAAATAAATAAATAAATAAATATATATATATATATATATGTTTGTTCAGAAGAGAAGTATTTCCATATGTTTACAATCAAGTGGATCTAATCAACTTATTCTTGTGGTTGTCTGGTAGATTTTCTAGCCCAAACTGACAATGATATCGTCCTATAGACACACTGCCTTAAAATTATGTAGGTACAGGCATATACACTCATATAATTAGTTGCAACAATTCCCTTTACTTTGACAAACTTACCAATAGTATCCTCAAGCAAGGTGTTAACACAGACTTGTGTTTCAAAGGAGGAATCAACACTACTGGTAACCGTTGAGCAAACCACGGTATTGTGAGTAGATAAATACAGTATTGCTCCGCAGCACTCTGAACTTCTAGCAAGTCATTTGTATCATCCGCAACTAGATTCACGACATGAAATGGCCGTAATGCTAAAGTAATTGCACTTGCAGTTATCAGTAACTTCTCATCTGTCTGAGAAGACAAAGTCACCTGAACAGAACTAGGAGTCTCAAGTTTACAAATATACCTCCTTACAGAATTGTATAGTCCACTTTTAATACTTCCCATGAACTGAACTAAATCCCTAACAGCCATTAATGCACCCTGTATATTGGTGTTGCTGATGCATTTCCAACCTTTCACATCAGTCAGAATTACTGCCAAGCGCATTGCTAATGATGCAAGTAGCTCATCGTTACTCTTGTGACAAGAATTATCATATTCTGTTAAAATAAACAAGCAAATGGTAATCAACTTCTTTGCCTGATAATTCCAAACTTTTCTCTCTTCCGCGGTTCCAGTAGCCATTGAGCAAAAGTTTTCATTGGGATCTAAAAAAGAAAGAAGTAGACAGAAAAAGTCAATGTACACTATAACATGAACTTAACTGACAAATAGCAGTGGATAAATGCCAGATCATGCAAGGGTAGGATTTTAAAAATAAGGATTTATAGCTGATATTTGTGCTTATGGTTCAAAAAAATAGGGAAACAAATTGTTTTCTTTCATCTTTTTATAGTATGTAAGTGAGCAAAAGGTAAACAATCATTATCCCATAACCAGCCATCGAATTGTTGAGAGTGTGTATGGCACACAATTTAGCATCCTGATGAATCGTAATCTAGAAAGAAACGCTCAACATCATTGCAGAGTATTTCAGATAGAGTCTTTATTATTTAACGTTTTATCTTTGATAAGGTTCTTTGTTATTATATGCTTCTAGAAGACAATGATTCTTCTTTCTTTCTGTTTTTTATATTTCACTAATAACCCAATGAAACTGAGAGCAGAACATCCACCAACTCAATGAATATAACTTTTTCGAAATTTCTAAAGGACTGGATTAAAGCACTAGTCAGGTGAAGCTTAGAAATATATGGACATCATTCTGACAAATAAGAGTTATTCTATAACCATATTCATATGAACTCATAAAATGTAGAAGGAGATATCAAGACATGGGATACTTTTCTTGCCAAAACTCACAAAACACAATTGTTATAGTAAGACAATCATGACTACATAATTTGCATAGAAACTTAAGTACTTGAAATATATAAGAATAGCATACTTGTTGAGTTTATGCTCTCCAGGATAACTCCAAAGCAACTCCTGATGCAATCTTTTTCTCTGGGTTGAATTCTTGGATATCGCGCCAACAAGAATGTAGTAAAGAAAATAAAAGGCCTCAGAACTTGGCTGGATATAGACGATTTCTTTAGAGGAGAAAGATGACTATTTATCAACGATTCCCACTGCTGCTGAAACTCAAGGGCTATACGTTTTTTAACATGATAACGATGCCAAGCTCTCTGCACATATTTTAAGAAGCCGCATTCATAGTTGGCAAGCACAGTTGAAGATGAGATCAAAACATTTTTTTCTAACAAGGCTTTCAGAATGTTACTGGTTTATATAAAAACATCAAACAACAAAAGGATCATAATGAAAGAAAGCACAACACTAGTTCTACTGTATTATACAAAAGTGAACTCAACAAATAAAAAATTTACAATGTCTATGCATATCAATGAATGATAAAACTTCAAACCACAGAACCACAAAAAGATTTATCATGTTTGCTATAAGAAAGAGATTACAGATTCCGAGTATCTATTTGAGGTCTTTTCATTTTTAGGTAACTTGTTCTTTTCATTAATCACCCGAATCAAAATCACAAAGCAAGCTAATTACCACAATTAGCTTAGTCTCACTGCTAATAACTCCCTATCCAAATGCTACCTACCATCAACCTCACCAAAATAAATTACTTAACAGAAGCCATGACTGCACAACATCCTTTGCACCCTTTGGTGCTCTAACATCACAAGCATAAGCAATATTCCTAGTTAATCTAAAGTCATCCACAGCCGTCATTTGAGGTTTTAAGGTGCTTTTGACGTAGTAATTTTACTATTGCGACAATGAAAAGCCATTAAGTTTAGCATATAATTATATGATCATCTCCAACCTATTCGAGGTTTTGAGGTACTTTTGACACAGTAATTTAACTATTCTTACAACGAAAATCCACCAAGTTTAGCTTATAATTATATGATCATCTCCAACTTATTCGAGGTTTTATGTTGCTTCTGACACAGTAATTTTAACTATTGAGACAATGAAAAAGCCACTAACTTCAGCTTATAATTATAATATGATCATCTCCAACTTTTCAAAACATGTCGTGAGCACATAACAAGCTAAAATAGAGTCATACTTCACGATCAAATCAAACAGTAGCTCACGGCCATTATTAAGCTAATAAAATCCTGATTCACTAACCTGGATTAACCGCGCAGCAGATGTAGCTCGCCGAGTAAAATTCCTCAACGCTCTCTCTTGTGAAACTTTTTCCAAAAGCACATCCCTCGAAATCTCCTTCGCACTTGATCCTCGCAATGAAACCTGATCCAAAAGGATAAACAAAAATTCAACAAATTACTCGAATTGAAAAATCATGCAAACAACAAAAAAAAACGATCAATTTGATCAAATTTGCTGAAAATGATAACAATTAACAACAACAATGATGATTATGCATATATAGAAGAACCTGGTTCTTTCGAGGTTCGCTCATGGCGGATTAACAGAAGAAGAAAAAATGACTTTTTGATGCAAAGCGTGAAATGAATTGAGATTTGAGAATATGGGGATATCACAAATGGTTAAGCGGGTTTGATTATTGACCCGACTCCTAACAGAAAATGCAATATTCTTTTCGGGCTATTTTGGGTCGATTTAACTAATTTTACGAGGTACTTAATATTTCTTTCGAGTAATAATTTTATTCGTAAATGATAGAAAGGATGAAAATTACCTGGTGTTTAATCTCTAATCGGAATTGATTTATGACCTCGTAACAAATATTATTTATCTTTTTATTCGTTTGTAATTAGCTGATAAAATCAATCAATAAATAAAATGATAATTTTATTATATTACTTGTAAAAGTGAGTTTATAAGACCCGGAAAGGTTTATGTGTTAGGATAAAATGACAAGCGAGATTATTAGGAGAGAGGCGAGGGAGAGAGGGTAAAAAGTGGAGAGAAGTGAATTGTATATGTATATCGGTTAGATAATTGTATATATGCAACTATTACGTGTATGTATCAATGATTGTGATTGTATATCTACAAAATAATTGAATTTGTATTCAATTAAACTGAGTGAAAACATTTGTATTAATATATCAAACCTCTATCGTTATACAAACATAAATTATATATTGTATTTGTATAACTCGTGTTTGTGTAAAGCGAGAAAGGAAAAGGAAAAAAGAGATCTCGGTAAATGAAATTGTATTTATATATACAGTTTCTTTGACTTTATACAAAACACAAATTATACATCTGTGTTTAAAGTGAGAGGGGGCGAGGACGAGATAACTGGATAAAAAAAGAGTGGCTTCTCTTCTGATTGTGCTCGTTGGCGCATTAAGCCTAGGTTTGGAACCCCGGAGAGAAGGGACAGAGGCAAATGACAAAAAATTTGATACGAGTTAACATTAAATAAAATTATATTCATAGATTTATTTTGAATTAATAATTTGCTATGTGTACAATTTCCTCCCAAAAAAATAATAATTTATAATAATTGAATCTTTTAGTTTTTTCATGTTTTTGGTCTATGGGTCATGATTGTTTTAAATTAAATTATTGCATATATAATTAACATTAGAATTCGTTTGCATAAAACTTGTTGAAATTTCAGTCATTTGCATAAAGTATAGGGGGGGAAGGCATTATTATGAATATTGATTATTTTTTTTAAAAAAAAACTTACATAAATATATTAAAATAAAAAAATATTTATTATTTTTGGTAATAATATATTTTTTTCACTTGATCACTTTTAATTTATTTATAATACAAGTTTAATACGTATAACAAAAAACAATTTACTATTCATATATAATACAATTTTTAATGATGGTAATATATTTATCACACATTTTAATACACTTTATAATACAATGTGTCAAATTTTAACAAACAAACATAATATATTTCAAAAAATAATTATAATTCATATATATTGCATACATAATTCACTCTTAATTCATATTACAAATTTAACATAGTATTATTATAAATGGTAATAAATAAAAAGTATTATTAAAATCATTAATTATTTATTAAAATATACTGATTTACGTAATTTTTCCTTTTTTATTTCTTATTTAAACATGACTCAACATAGTGGCCCAATTTGGAGAAATAACAGACCATTCACATATGCTTGAGAATTAAAAAAAGGCCCAATTCATTATATTCATGATTCAGAAAATGCAGAAATGACAAATATAATAAGATTTTATAATTATAATTTTGATATTGCATTTCATAACTATAATTTCGTTTATTATGAAAATTTCCTTATTTATATATTTTTGCGTATTTATGTATATTTTGATTGTGAATATATAAATAGGGCAAGTATATACAAATTTTGTATTTATATATTTAGGATTTTTTTTAAAACTCTTTTTTATATATTTCGCTTGACAATATACAAATAGGGTAATTTATTATGATTTTTTCATAAGTCACATACAAATAACTAAGAAAAACATATACAAAATTCTAAATCTATATAATCAACGGTTAAATTATACAAAAATTAGGTAATTACCAAAAATTGAGAACAGTAAATTACAATTTTCTGTAATTATATCTATAATGTCTAAGATATGCTTAATATTATTATGCATACTTTTCTCTTCAATTGTTTAGATACTTATAAAACCTTTTTTATATTCATAACTTTTTTTAACAAGATATTTGTTAATAAAATAAAAGATTTATTTATTTTGGTTAAAACGAAGAAAGCAAAGATTCAAAATTATTATATTATAACAACTCATAAGACATTATTTCCTCAAAACCTATCACTACATTTAAAGAGTCCTCAATAACTTTTGTTAATTAAATTTAAATCAATGTGTATAATTTTCATGACTGAAATATAAAATAAAAAATTACAATAATTCGTTTCAAAACTCAATTTAAGCATGTTAACTAAAAGTTTCGAAATTTTACGATTCGAACCTTGAAAATAAAATCATCATATAGATATGTTAGTTCAAATTTAGGTTTTTTCTCCAAAAGAAATAATCAAATTTAACTTTTTTTAGTGGTACAAAAAATGTATACAACAAAAAAATAAAAGACGTAATAACTACAGGATGTGTTTAAATTCTAGATATGAATAAATCTTTGTTAATTTTGAATAATATAGCGTGAATTAAAAATAATTAAACTTTAATACAATTGTTAAACATTAAATAAAAAATAAAAAATAAATAATTCGATCCAATCTTTAATGCTACATATTATAAGATTCAATTTTTTATATATTTTTTTAAATATAGGGAATATTAATTTTTTTGTTTTTCTTTTTAATAAAGGTTTGTAAGTGATAGGTGGCAATCAAAGAAGAACTAAAATTCGACACGTATTATGACTGCTTCTGTAAGAATTTTATTATTCTATGCAAGGTTTTGTTTTTTTAATGCCACCGATATATATTTAGAATGTTATAATTAATAATTAAATAATGAGACAATGTTTCTTTGGCTTTTACTCAAGGTGTATATAATAAAATAATAAATATACACGGTAAAGTGAGTCTGCTCTTCTTAAAAAAAAATTATTATTAGTAATACATAAACGCATGAATAATTTATGTTTATTATTGGAGTACATCATATTATTATATCAAAGATTTTTAGAATATATTATTCAAGTAATTTGTTTATATTTTTATATATATAATATAATTTTACGAAGAAAAATGTTCAATTGAACACCCGAACATATGAATAGCTACACTCCTTCACATCGTTTGAATTTTTAAAAATTATTTTTTTGTTAATTTGTTTTATTGTGATATTTAACACTTTAATTAATTTTATGAGATAGTTATTATATTTACCAATAAAAATGTATCGATCGTAAATAATTTTATTCATCGTCAAACGAAAAAAATCGTATTTTTGCAAATATTTCTTAAAAGTTTTAACTATTTATTAATTATTGAGATGATGACTCATGTCTTTGAAATTTCGGACATAGGGTTGAGAGAGTACTTGTGCATTTTCCCTTAATTATTTCTGCAACTTATAATTTTAACGTCCCTTTGGATTTATATACTTCTTTCGTTTTAATGCATGTGACGTTATGATTTTTTTGAAAGTTTATTAGCACATTTTAATTATATTTTTTATATGTTTCTAAGTATATTAATTATATATTATTATTAATGTCATTTAAGCTCTTTTAAATCATCTCATTTTTACTTTTGTTTCAGTTTTTTTTTTTATATTTATTAAGAAAAAAATAATAACTACAAAATATAATTGTTAATAGCAACTTTTATTAAATTATTTCTATTTAATAAAGATTGATTATTTTTTTCTTAAATATTATGCATGTATACTTCTACGATGTCAATCGTATAGATGAAAATAATTATATTATTAATTTTGTATAGTCTTGATTTTCTTTTAAAAAAATTTATATTAAACAAATTCTTCTATTAGACAAATGTTAAAATGAGACGAAAAGAGTTTCTTACGTTTAAATCACCAATTCATTGATTTAATTACTAAAAAAATCGTTTAAATCACATGTTAATAGGACTATACTATTTAAAATTTTCCAATAAAATAATTAACTCATTAATACAAGTCTTCATCGTACTTTTTGAGAATTCCTTTTTTGTTTAACTATAAAAGGATATAATTATTTTAACATATATTATTATCTCTGTTTACTTTTACTCGTCACTATTAATATATCAAAAAATTTTATTTCTAGCATTAAATATTATTCATTCAATTATTTTTTAAAACTTAATATTAAACATCAAATAATAGAAATAATATAATAAAATAACTAATAATTATTTTCTTATTAAACGTATCAGATCGAACCATGACAAATAAAGTAAATGTAACAAAGTATATTTGAAATCTTTAATAGCAATTATTCTAACTAACAGAATTATATGGTGATTAAGACCTCATTCCTATCTTCGACAAGTCCTCTTAATAAAGTCATAAACATGTAATTAATAATTAAAAAACAAAAAGAGTAAATAAATTTAAAATAATATTCTCATTTGTCATAACTAGCTAAAAATCATAATTATATAAATAGCCACCAACGTGAAATATGGTGCACCGACGAAACTGTCACCCTTAATCAGAGGTCTCATATTCGAGCTTTACATATAGAGAAAATTTCGTTGAAAGTGTCACTTCCGAATAAATATTACGATGTGCAGTCAAAATTTAATCAAAATTCTAATGTAGACTTTATACATAGATCGAGAAATCGAAAAAAGATATAAATAGCCAATGCAATTGTTCCCTTTTAAATAAACATCATATCATATCTCTTAAACAAAACACAAAGCTAAGTTCACACGAAGAATACATTTAAAATTGATCTCCATATTCTTATTTTATCTTCTATAAACATAATAATAAATTCCTACATTCATTTATAACTTATGCTGATAAAAAGAAAAAATAAATAAATTAAGTGTTATATACGCTAAAACTTAATTTATGCAATAATCTAAATGCTAATAAAAATTATAGGTCATAAGTGTTTTTCAATTTAGACGGAATGAAAAAGACATATATTGACTATTAAGGAAATTCAATAGTAGTTAAAATGTTAA